GAAGATAAAGTAAAACATACACTTCTAAAACTATGTGTCTTGACTCTCAGTAAATTCTAATGCCTTCTATGAAAGAAATACTGATTTTCTGTAACTGAGGTCAATCTGTTACCCACCCAGATATCCCAAAACATTTATTCTGCTGCATTGTGGTTTAACAAAAATAGCATGCAATAGACTACAATCTTCTGAGAAAAATAAGTAGTGCAAAAATACTACAATAGCCAATATTTGATAGATTTGCTAGGCTGTTGGGAGGGGGAGTTTTTATAATTCATTATGTATAGTTGTAGAGTAGATGAAATTTGGCAGCATTGTTTGCAACTGTGCAGGTGACAATATCATACATAGCGTGCTTACCTGGAAGGTCTTGTTCTGTGTGAGTCCCACAACATTATGTGATTCTCGGGGACTAAAATGTCCCATTCTAGTGCATGAGGACTAAACATATAAACAGTGAGGCATCATAAGGACCAAATTATTGGCTGGGTTTCTATAGAGTCCATTTCCCACACACCACGTCTTCCGGACCAAATTATTGGCTGGGTTTCTATAGAGCCCTCCCATTTCCCACACACCACGTCTTCCATTATGAGCCTCCCTGGGTGTTGAGATCATCAGGGGAGGCCTTCCTCTTGGTCCCACCACCTTCACAGGTGTGTGTGGTGAGGGCACGGGAGAGGGCCTAACCAAATTATTGGCTGGGTTTCTATAGAGCCCTCCCATTTCCCACACACCACGTCTTCCATTATGAGCCTCCCTGGGTGTTGAGATCATCAGGGGAGGCCTTCCTCTTGGTCCCACCACCTTCACAGGTGTGCGTGGTGAGGGCACGGGAGAGGGCCTTCTCTGTTGCTGCCCCAAGACTTCTGTTTATCATCTTTTACTGTGGTATTTGTTTGACCCCTTTCAATATTTGTATTTCTGGTTCTTTGCTTCATGTATTGTCTTTGAATGATGTATGCTGCCTTGGGTCCTTCTTAATTTATCCAGAGTAGCAGAAGCTGGCCTGTTAGGGCAAATAAGGCTGTTTCTTCACCACAGGCTAAGGCATGGATGTCAAGGCCCCATCTCTGTGTTCTCCTCATTCCAGACATCTGCTCTGTGTGAACATGGGGAACATGTGAGAGAGAATAAAAGCAAGCAAATAAGTCAACTTCCCAACTTTGAAACAAGGCACAGAGGGAAGCAGCAGCAGCAGGGAGAAATAGTTCTAATTTGGCAGGCAAGGTGTCTCTTTGTGCTCATCACCTGATTTGTCTAGTGAAAGAATGCAAAGCAGCATCTGAGGACGTCGAGTGCTATCTGGCTGCTTCCCTGTGCTTCTTTGTGAGACAGAAAACACAGGACTGTGTGCATACCTGTGAGTGAGTGAGTGAGTAATTAAGTAAGTGAGAGCTACCTGTTACCCCTGGCTGCTGAGTCTTTTGCTCCACCAATCATAATGGGCTAACAGCTGAAGAGGAGAAATCAAAATGACTGAGGTGGAGACAGGATTTCAGGCACAAGAGCAGCTTTGCTGTGTGGCACACCCCATCTCCCCTATAAGTTATAAAAAAGGAGATGTCACTGTCCTCTCTGCACTCTGGTGAGGGAAAATGAGGAAGCTGAAGGGAGCAAGAGCTGAGAGGGTAAATAAGGACAGAATGAGGAGAAGGGAGTGAGGAAAGAAAGGCGGGGAACTTTCCTGAAGATGTTTGTCTGCAAGTACTGTGAGTTGTGAAGAGACTGAGGGGAGAGAATGAGAGCTCTGGGGATTTGGAAAGAATGAGAGAGAAATCAGGCTGGGGAAACTTAGATAAGTCTCTGTATGAGCCCCCATGTTGCAGAGTTTTGAATTTTTGGTTAAATTCCTCTAATAGAAGTTCAGGGATTCACAGAGTAAAATAGCTTCAGGTTCTCCAGATTAGTCCAGCCATTTTCCTCATCAATTGGCACTTATAGTCTCAATATCTCACTCTGAGACATTAGTAAGGGAAAGAATAATAGTTTTCATTACTTGCAACCAAACAAGTCAAACAGCAAACTGAGAAACGTGACTGCTGTTAGCAACAGATTTCAACAGTCCCTAGAGAGGGAAAAAGCTGAGCAGAGAGACAGGGTTCTCTTTGAATTCTGAGACAAGAGGGGACAATTGGTTACTGCTGAAGAGATTGACAGTCACCCCAGCCCAGAAAGGTCCATCCCAGTCAAAGGCAGCATGCAAGGCTGCAGAGACTCCCAACACTCCAGATGGCAGCTTCGACTGAGGGAGCCTTAATTCCAAACTTGAGTACTGTCAAATAAGTGTGGAGTACACTTAGCTTTCATCCAAACTTGAGTACTGTCAAATAAGTGTGTACACTTAGCTTTCGACCCCACCCACTGTAGCTCTGCTCACTGCCCATATGCACCTCCCCCAGGAATTAAGATGGAATTCTCAGTATGAGACATTTCAGTCTTTTGAGGCACTAAGTCACTGGTGGTGAACATTTTGGCACTCCAGATATTTTGAGCTACAACTCCCATGAGCCTTTATCATTGGCAAGACAAGCTGGAGATGCTGGTAACAGTAGGGGGAAAAAGCTAGAATGCTAAAGATTCACCAACCTTGCTCTAAGCTAATGACCAGAATCCTGTTAGTAGTGCTAGTAGGAGTCCATAAGCATAAATCTCAGTGGGTAGTTGCTACTAGTAGGGATTTGCTATGGTTCGCGGTTCATGTGGCCTAGCACATTGCAGCTGTGGCAATTTGCCACAGAAGTTTATGCCAATGGATTTATACTGGCGTAATTTTGCAGTTGGATTTCAGCTGATACATGTAACTTTCCCAACACTATCACAATTTCAAAGGCTGACTGTATTGGCAAGCTAAATAGGTCTGATATGCCTGTGCTGCTGTTTGATTCACAGCCTGTATTATAACTGAATTCACAGTCAGGGTTGTGAATTGATTCAAGAGTTCAATGTTCACACTTGATATGATGTGATTTACTATTCAGCCCACAGCCCTCTTTCTTTCCTTCCTCTGGTCCCGCCTTTGCTGATCCTTTTATGATTTGCTGTCAAGCTGCTTTGTTTTGAAAGGGTTGTAACTGTGTTCCGGAAAAAGTGCCAGCATTCCAAAGTTCTGCTTAACGTGTACAGATATATTACATACCATAGGAACATATTTTATTTCATCTGGGATGTTTCTGTTTTGTTTGTAATTTGTAATTTTTTTCTCATCCAGAAGTGATCTAGCGCTAAACTAGTTTAGCAGTGCTAGTGCTAGTGATAAGATGATTTAGCACTAATGTGATATATATGAAAAAAAACACAGAGGACAGTTGAGGGAGAAGAATGTGGGGCATGTTTTCCCCAATCCTGAATGTCACACCCCAACTGAAACACACACCTATTTCTATGAGAATGAATGAACTGATCACATCGAAAAAGTCTATTCAAATAGTTCTGGCTTGAGAAAAAAAGTACAGTAGTGGCCTCTAGCAGCAGAGGAAAAAAAGCCATGCAGGGAGCAAAAAGAGGTAGACCTATTCAAATTGGCCTTTGTGAAATGTGATCAGAAAAAATACTTTGAATCAAGCCTTACTATAACTGCAGCATGATCTACCTGACAGGGTTGCTGTTCAGACACCAAGAAGGGTGAGGATTGGAGGAGGAGAGCGATGGGCACCACCTTGAGCTTATCAGAGATGGGAGGAGGACAGAAAGCCGTACTATAACTGAAATGTGATCAGAAAAAATACTTTGAATCAAGCCGTACTATAACTGCAGCAAATCCTGTAGTATTTGATCATGTAGTTACAGCTTCAGTTTCATGCAAATTCCAACAGCATAAATTTCAAAGGCTGTGCTATACATCCCAGCTGTGTTACTGACCTGAATTCTACCTTTACAAATCTACCACTTCGTTCTGCTCTCCGGGGAGGATCTGCCTGCTGCAAAACCAATAATGTTCAACATAACATCTGTAACAGCATGGTGGGGAGAGCCCAGGAAAAATAAAATATAGAGAAAAAACTCCAAAGGAGAAGAAGAGGCTAAATGGCCAGGAGAGATGTCTTTTCAATGTTCACAGAAAGCTTGCTGACTTTTGTGAGTAGAGAAAGGCTGAAGTTAGAAGGGAATGAAGTGTTCTGGCTGGCAGGCTGGTTGGCTGGCTAAAATGCTAAACAGAATGATTTGACACTGGAACATTAGGTTTTGGATCCCACTAAACAGAGTATTAGTAGTGGTAATACTGAACAACTTTGCAAGCTTGTTGTAAGAATGACTGCATTATTTGTGTTTAATGTGCACCGTCGCCTTCTCCTTGGAAAAAAAAAGTTGGTGCTACAACTCCCAGAACACCCAGGGTCACTATAGCTACAGGAAGGAGGATTCTGGGAGTTGTAGTATTTTAAAAAGTAAAATTTCCTAGCTCTGTGATTAGCCGAAAACAAATAGAATTAAAACTCCATGGTCTGTTTCAAAGCCACACACAGTCTTGCATATAATAGCTGCACCCTCAAGTTGATTCCGACTTAACAGCAATGCTGTCCAGGATTTTCTAGGTATAGAGTACTCCTAAGTGGTTTACTGTTTCTTTCCTCTGGGTTCACTCTGAGATGTGCACCTTGCCCAAGGCTACCCAGGCTGGGTTTTCTCCTGGGAGAATCAAACTCCCAGCTTCTGGCTCCACAGCCAGATATCTAACTCTGCAGAGACAACATGAATTATTATGCTCAGAAGGACAGGTTCTATTAAACCCAAATAATAACCTTAATTGTTGGTAAGTTTAAGTGAGGTATATTCAACCTAGCAATCTTTCCCTGTCACTACACATGCTCTTGCTTCAAACTTGGAGAAGTATCTACCAGCAATTACACCAAGGCAGCTTCCAAGCCTATTAGGTGTTCCCTTGTCAGATGGGGCGGGAAGTTCGAGGGAGGGAGGGAGGGAATAACAAACCCCTTGCGAGAGGGAGCAGCCCCACACTTGGCCGCAAAGGCATTCTGCCAAGGAGAAGCTGAGAAGAAGCAGCGTTTTGACTTGTCGGGGGAAACCTGCTGGGAGATGCTGCCGCTGCTGCTGCTCTAGTTGCTTCTGAGTTGAGCGAAGGAATTCTCCGGCTGAGGGTTGCTCTCCGTCTCTCCCTCTCTCTCCACCCAGATTTAGGGGCAACTGGATCATCCAGGGACCTGTTTTCCTTTCTTGCCATAACAGTGCCATGGTGCCTGGATTGCACGGCAGCCTCTTCCTTGTTTTATACCTGACATCATGTCAGGTATCTCTCGCTTCCCAGGTAAGGCGGGCACCTTGACTGCCCCTCTCTCACTGCAAAACCGGTAGCTGGTTTCATTTGGTTACAGCATTTCTTCTTCTTTACAGGACACCTGTATTCATTTGATCTTTTTAAAATGGATGTTTGGGGAGGGAGAAATATTTTGTGCAATCTGGAGTCTTTGATAGTAAAGTGAGTGACGGCTCTTTTGCAAACCTGTGCTTAAAAAGCTGCACTTCTCCAGCACTTCCTTTCTGCTCTCTTGCCTCTTTGGGAAAAGTAAAACCTTCACAACTCTTGAGTGGCTGCTGGCTTTTATCAGAACATGGAAATGTTACTTTTTCAGATGGCAGCTCCCAGAATCCTCCATCCAGCCTGGCCAGTGGCTAAAAGTTGCATTTTGCACACTTCAGAGACCACGGTGACCAAAGTGGTAGAATTCAGAAAAATCTCTTGTGTGAATGACAACTTTCTGGCCCCGCTGGCTGGAGGATTCTGGGAATGGTAGTCCATAAAGGTAACTTTCGGCATCAGATTAACAAGCAAGAGATATTGGGATGCTTCTGCAAGGAGGGCTGTTAGAGCTATCAGTCAAGAGTGTGGTGCAACTCCTCCATCTTTCCCCTCTTAGCAATTTATGAATGGGAGGGGAGGGGACAAAAAAAGGGAAATAGAAAATGAAAGGTTTAACAAATGCAACAAAGTGACAACTGCCCCCCCCACACACACACACAATATAAAACACTATCAATGAGCCAGGATCATTGCTCAATGAAAATCCTGTCTAGAAGTACCCCTTGCTACCTTTAATTGAGGCCAACTGGGAAATGAACATGAAGGTTAAAGCCAATAGGAAGGTGCAGAGGGAGACTGGTGCCAAGGATAACAATAAGGCCAGGCAGCCTCATTGTCTTAGAGCTCATCTCCGCACCAAAGGGAACCAAACAAAACAGCCTCCTCATAACATCCTTCCTCATTTTCATCACATCATTTTTAGATTATAACTTCCCTTCTCAGCCTGGCAGAATATGGAAATGTTAGTTCAAAAAGTATTTATTAGTACAGTAATTTGGGGGGGGGAGACGCTCTGAAGAACTGAATTCAGAAATAGATATGCTTGGCAAATGAAATATTTTGCATTTGGCTTTCTCAGTTAGACTGAGGATTCCCTCAGTCTCTCCTATGATGGCGGGGGAGCAGCAGGGGATGAACTGACAGGGACGTGCCCAGCTCAGATGGGCTGTCAAACAAAGGAGTTGCTCCCTACCCTAGTGGATTTAATCATCATCATCATCATCATCATCATCATCATCATCTTGGAACTGCAGAGCTGGAAGGGACCCTATGGATCATCTAGTCCACCCTCTGTCAAGGCAGCACAGTGGGGAACTGAACTCCCAATCTTTGGCTCCACAGCCAGATCCTGTAGACTCCTGGGGTACATATAACTGGTTAACAACTCTGTGATTACCCAGTAATGTTCTGGCATGGTGGAGACTGAATGACAGGCGGATTATCCAGTCTGGAAATCTGTTCGTTAACATTGTGCTGTTGCAGCCAATCCAATCGGTGTCTATTTTGCCCACAACTTACTACTTATCTTTCTCCAATAAAACTCTTATATGTATCAAGGTATGTATGTCTGTTTGTGGGAGGAGGCTGGGGGTGCCCCAGTTATCTCACTTGGGACCACAAATGAGTATTCATTAAAAAAGGAACAGCCATCCAAGAATGACATGGCTATAGCCCACATGATTCTGACCAGGTCCTGGCCCGATCAGAGCACTGACCTTTGAGTATGATGAAATTATGCAGTTCCCAAGAAAAGAAAAGCTTGATTTGAGTGATTGGTAAACATTGATTTAATGCTTGTAAAACATTATTTGTGAAGATCTTTCCTGTGCCTTTGTGTACATATGTGGAGCAAGGGGAAAGGGAGAGGATAGATCAGGACTGAGTAATGTTAGGGTTGGAGTTTTTTTTTTTACTATAACTCCCACTAGTCATGATAGTTGGGTGTTGTAGTCAAAAAAGGCATTTCTCCAATCTCTAGAAAAGAAGAATCATAGAATCATAGAGTAACGGAATTAGACAGTCCCTATAAGGCCATCGACTCCACCTCCCTGCTCAATGCAGGAATCCAATCCAGGTTATCCAAAGTTGGGAACCACTATTGTACACAATCTGAACAATGTGGTCACATTCTGGAGCAAGATAAAATTGCTACAGATTAGTAGATTCATATTAATTGAACATCGTGTGCAGCTAAAGGCTTTTCGCAGCAGCAAACAACACATAAGGCATGTTAGACATACTATTCTGCATCAGGTTATATAGGTTTTGAATAGGTACTCATTGATTAATGCACAGTATTCCAGGACTCTTTCTTAAACAGGCTTCTCAAATGCCAGTCTTTTCTCCTCCTCTCCTGAGAGCTATTGCCATGTGCCAGTTATGATGATGTGTGCACGAGAACCTAAAAAAAACCCTGTTCTGCTTCAGACCACAGGCTTATCTGTTAGATCAATAGAAATCTGTCTATTTGTCCTGTTCACATCATGGCCAATAATTTGTCTCTGGGAAACCCACAAGCAAGAGGTGAACTCTTCCGCACCCTCCTGTTTGTGTCATGCAGAAACTGATAGTATACAGAATCCTACGGCTTTTAATATCTATGGGAATATAGGGCAGTTTTGACCCTTAGTTACTGATGACCTCATCCTTCCTAGATTCAACTAATCTTCTTTTAAACCCATCCTGTGGCAGTGAATTCCGCAGTTTGACCAATGCACTGTGTGGAGAACTTTGTAATCTGTCCTGATTTTCCTCCCCTGCAGTGCCAGCTGATACTTTGACATCTCGTTATGAACAAGATCTGCCATCTCCATCTTGCCTTATCAGGAGCCTCTACAATTAGACTAGAGATGGGCACTGCCAGTTTGGCAGTTCGTGCTGCTGTGTTTCTTGGTCAGCAGTTCCCGGCCTCACTTCCTTCAGTGGGTGCCCACTCAGAGCCCCGGCTTCCCCGCCCAACCTCCTCTGGGTGCTGCCTGTGAGTGGGCACCCACTGGAGGAACTCGGACTGGGAACTGCTGAACACCTGTTTGACCAAGAAAGGAAATGGAACGAACCACCAAACCGATGGTTTGTGCCCATCTCTAAGGGGACGTGGTGGCGCTGTGGGCTAAACCGCAGAAGCCTGTGCTGCAGGGTCAGAAGACCAAGCAGTCGTAAGATCGAATCCATGCAACGGAGTGAGCGCCTGTCGCTTGTCCCAGCTCCCACCAACCTAGCAGTTTGAAAGCATTCAAATGCGAGTAGATTAATAGGGACCACCTCGGTGGGAAGGTAACAGCGTTCCGTGTCTAAGTCGCACTGGCCATGTGACCGCGGAAGATTGTCTTCGGACAAAACGCTGGCTCTATGGCCTGGAAACGGGGATGAGCACCGCCCCCTAGAGTCGAACACGACTGGCCAAAAATTGTCAAGGGGAACCTTTACCTTTACCTTACCTAATCTAAGACAGGTGCTTTTTGTTTTGTTTTTCCCAACTTTGGGGATTTTGACTTTCTTCATCAAATGCTGAAATCTTATAATATTTGCACCTGGTAAAGAGTTCTGATGGACTCAACACAGTTTATTCTGTTTATAAATTTTTAGTTATCTAGTAAAGATATTATCCAATCTAGATATTTGATTTTTTTCCTAGTTACTTTTCCCTACCGTGCACAATTTTGTATAGCACTATATAGCCGCCCCCTCTTACTTGCCTTTTCCCCACCCCTTGGAAAAACTATTTTCTGGACTACAGCTCCCAGAATCCTCCAACCAGTAAGGTCATAGTATGCATTCCATAAAAAGTAATGTATCCAAGATTTGCTCCCCCCTAAACAAAACAGCCCAAAACTTTTCTTCATAGGAGAATTGTTCCAGTTTTTGTAAATTTGTGATACATTTCAAGTGTTGTTTTAGCTTATCCTCAACTTGTTTTTCGCTTTCTCACAGAACTGCATGAACAAGCAGCAGCTTCTGGCTACTATCCGCCAAATGCAGCAATTTCTTAAGGGGCAGGAAACCCGATTTGTAGAAGGAATACGTGTCATGAAAAACCGACTAACAACACTGCAAAACACAGTGATTAAAGTCACGCCAGAGCCAGAAACCGGTAATCATTAATCCAGAATTTCATAGTAGCAGCTATTGGAGTTTTATTTACAGCCTCACTTGTTGCCTGTAATTTGTTTGACTGAAGTGACTTCCCTGGACTAGGTTGATTAGTCCTGCACTAACTAATTGTTCCTTCCAGCCTTTGAATACAAAGAGAGTCCTGCCTCCCTGCTGAGTATGCTTTCCCTCTCTTTCCTGGGTTGGTGGCAGTTGTTTGCTTGTTGTTGATCTGTTCAATTGGTTGCTAAGTGTGTGTGCAGAAAGAAAGATGCATAAAAAATTCTGTAACTTCAAAAAAAAACTGTATACAAAGTATGTGTGCAGTAAAGAAAGAAGCATAAAAATTCTGTAACTTCAAGTAACTATGGTTTTTTTTATTCTGTCTCCTACAAATGTCTCAGAGTGAGTTATGGAGACTTTAAGTGCCAGTTAGTGAGAAAGAGGTGGACTATGGGAAACTTGTAGTCAGAGTGAGTTATGGAGACTTTAAGTGCCTGTTAGTGAGAAAGAGGTGAACTCTGGGAAACTTGTAACTATTGTCCTCTGTGAGTCTTTGTACTTCTACTGTTTAATAGAAATAGTACAATGTTATGAAAAATTCAAAGCACTGACAGAGTAGCATCAGGGAGAGATCAAATCATCTCTGTTTTTTCTGTCTCCTGACTCCTGCTGAACTAGTTAGTTCCTGTAACATCACCATTTGCCACTTGCACTGACAGTTTTGAATACATATCACAGGCCAGATTAGCTTTCCCATCTTCTATTGCACTTTAGTGCTATTACTGGAGCCCTTCATTGAGACACTTACCAGGTCATATGATGGAACAGATTTAAGGGCTACCTCTGAAGACCAGTTAGTAGTGGTGGGGCCACTACAAAACCAAAAGGAACACCAGCAGAAGTTGCTCTGCTTTACTTATGCCCCACCTGTCTCCCAAAATTAGCACTCAAATCTAAAAATTAAACTTAGAGTCAAGATTTAAGACTTTACATGTTGTAATGTTAGAACAAAACAGAACTGAAAGCAGCTTAAAGATGCTTTGGTTTAAAAAAAACACAGCATGGCTAGCTTACTGGGTTCTGCTGAAGCTCCATTTCCTTTGACTACCAAAGGATTCAGTCTTCTCTATGCCTTGGCAATCCAAAATTTTCCAGAACTCACCAAAATGTGCAAATGTAATGGAGACGAACCTCCACACAGCAGAACATTTTTTTTGTATGAAGCCTTAGATCAACCCCTGGCTTTTTAGGTTAACATAATCATGCCACAAGTGATCAGGCAAAACTCTGCCAAGAATCTGGAGTGCCACAAAGTAGACAAGAAAGGACTAGCTCTCAATAAATGTTGCTCCAGTTGGTAGATTTATGGAAATTTCTAGCCTACCAAGAGGTGGTAGCCGATATGCTTAGACTTTCAAACAATCATTATAAGCCAGGTCATATGATTAGCCCCCCCTCCAAAAAAAACACGATTGCATTTGGGAAATGATTTCTTAAAAATTCATAATCTGAAAGGTGTGTCCTAACTTGGTAAATTGTTACCCAGCATCTTGGTTAAGAAACATATGTTTAGACACTGGTATACTTTTTTTATTCAGGTTCATACCTGAACTCTTTCCTAACTAATTTAATCATAATGTTTTGCAGAGCATAATTAACAATATCTATAAGGTATTTCTTTCTTTCTTTATTTGTATGAGAGCATTGCATAATTTAAAACTATGGACATAAATGAAATATAAGTAAAGTTAAAAACTAATTAAAATGTTAAGACAGTTTTTGACCAGAAGACTAAGAAGTGTTATCTTGGCCATTTGCTAAGATCTTCTTTGTACAAGTGATGGGGCAAAAATTGCATGCATATAAGTACTGCATTGATTTAATTTCTTCCATCACAGAAAATTTGTGACTGATAATAAGCCTTTGAAAAGTTGCATAAACTAGTATGACTTTTGGTCAGAACAATAAGATGTGAGTTGGATTTTGACATCTACTTTTTAAACTTAATTGCTTTGTGGTAAAGCAAACAAAGCACAGAGCCATAAGTAGGGTGGAATAACTGTGACTTTGAGTTATTGCACCAAAATGTAGAGGGTGCAAACATCTGCTGCTGGAAGGGCAGAAATCCAGGTGCTAGAAGGACAGGAATCTCTGTATCCCTAGCATGTACAGGCAGAAGAAATGCAGGCACTAATCTCACATGACCAAAGCTTATCCCATAGAACAGTGAAATCCTGTATCCAAAACTGCTAGTTATGGCCCTTAGCAATCATCAACTAAAAGTCACCATGCAGATGGCCAGTAGTCCATATCACAATACTTCAGGTGGTTCTGTCAATGTGAGTCTGATTCCCTCTGGAAGCAACTAAGCATGTGTCTTCTCACCCCATTGCACCCAACTGTGCTTGCAGTGTCCTGCCCTGTCCTGGATGCCCCACAGAATGGCAAACGATTTGGCACTAAAAACATGGTGGACCACGAAGTCCACTTCACCTGTGATCCTGGGTTTCAGCTGATTGGTTCCAGTTCTCGGGTGTGTCAACCAAATGGCAGCTGGACTGGAGAAGTTCCTTATTGCAAAGGTATTTTGTCCTGTTATTCTCTCGGCCTGGGAACGTATGCCTTCCAATAATGATCAAACAATTATTTACCCAGTGACAGAAAATGGTGGGCCATTTTTTCCATTTGGATTTGAGGAGCTGCAGTCCGAAAACCAAGCATTCCCAGTGTCTACATGCACCTGAAAAGATGCAGTTAAAATGATACCAGCAAGGTAACCATGCTTATGTAAGGCTTGATTCTTGCAAACTTATGACCCAATTCATGCAAAATGCCAGTAGATAAATAGGTACCACCATGGTGGGATGGTAGCGCCATTCCGTGTCTAGTTGCACTGGCCATGTGACCACGGAAGATTGTCTTTGGACAAATGCTAGCTCTATGGGTGGAAACGGAAATGAGCACCACCCTCTAGAGTCAGACACGACTGGACAAATTGTCAAGGGGAACCTTTACCTGTACCTAGTGATGTAAGTGTAATCGATGTGCATATTTTTCTTATGTAAGCAATAACTTCAGGACTGTGGGGACAGTTAAGGGGAGGGAGTTTTTAGCTTAGAAGAAGGATAAATAAAATGAGACAAAAGCTCTATTCCATTGTTCACAAACTGTATCTACTCACCAAGGGTAGTGCTATAGCAGTGCCCTCTCCACTTCTAGTTTCACTGCTCTTATACGTTTTCCATGTGAGTTGCAACTTGGAAATCAGCATCCCAACTCAGATGGAAAGCCTGCACAGATGGCCAAGACTGTCTTCTTCAGACTCATCCCTCTCCATGTGTAGCAGAGCGATAAAATGAGAAGCAGAGCATGGAGCGCACCATGCTCCAGGATAAAAAAACTGAAATGCTTCCTCAGGCATGGCATAGTTAGTTAATTAGATTTATATTCGACTCTGTTAGTGCAAGCACTACTTTGGTTGGTTTAAAGGTTAAAACATAAACCCCACAAAACCCCACGTAACAAAATGCATTCAGCAACATGGCAATCTAACAGTGTGGGTCACAAAACCCCACATAACAAAATGCATTCAGCCACATGGCAATCTAACAGTGTGGGCTTAAAATTAATTTTGAACATGAATGTGAACATTCACATTCACAGCATCCATGAGAATCAGTTATCGAAGGCAACTTTGAATAATTCTGTTTTCGCCATTTCCTGAATATAAGGAGGGAAGGAGCCTGGCATATCTCAGTGGGTAATTTATTCTAAGGACTGGAGGCCACCACTGAAAAGGCCTGATTCCTTGTTGTCAACTTTTTGGCTTCGCTGTGTTCTCCTGTGTTTTCTGTCTCACATGTGGCTACTTCGAGCAACATCTACTGAGAGGCGAAAAGAGTAGCTGATTAGACATGGGGGTATTTGTATTCTTATACTAATATGAATACCTCCCCACAGGTGGACATAACAAGGGTCCACTCACCGTCCGCTGCTGTCGCGGAATCCACCATATGAATACCTCCCCACAGGTGGACATAACAAGGGTCCACTCACCGTCCGCTACTGCCGCGGACTCCATGCTCCCTTCCTATCACTCCGGAACTTGCGGTTGCTTGGCCACTCCTGGCAGAAGGCAGGACAATGAGCCTCTCTGCCAGGTCAAAGAGTGTCTGGCCAACTGAGCGTGGCGACTGCAGCAACAGTGGACAGTGAGTGGACAGTCTGACCCTCGTTATGTCACCTGTGGGGGAACATTCATATTCATATACGAATACCCTCCTCTCTAATCAAGATCCTAAACCATTTTTAGGTCATAACCAGCACCTTGAATTGAGCACAGAAACTGACAGGAAGACGATGAAGTCATGCCACAACTGGGGATATATGATCGAAGTCCCAGAAATTCAATTGGCCAACGCTCATGCCACAACTGGGGATATATGATCGAATTTATAAGTCCAAGAAATGCAATTGGCCAACGTATTTTAAACCTGATGCTTTCTATACTATTTTCAAAGGCAGCTTTATGTACAGAGCCTTGCGGTAGTCTTATTTCTGAGATCACCAATGCATGAATCACTCTTACTAGGCATTTCTTATCTGGGAAGTGGCACAACTGGATAATCCGCTGGAGTTAATAAAAGTCACTCTTGGCCATGGCTGGTGTCTGAGCCTCCATAGAGGGTGCCAGATCCAAGAGCACCCCCAAGCTGCAGGCCCAATCCTGCAGGAGGTGTGTAACCCCATCAAGGCTAGGTTTCTAACTGGTCTGACAATCCTAGCAGCTTTATGTACAGAGCCTTGCGGTAGTCTTATTTCTGAGATCACCAATGCATGAATCACTCTTACTAGGCATTTCTTATCTGGGAAGTGGCACAACTGGATAATCCGCTGGAGTTAATAAAAGTCACTCTTGGCCATGGCTGGTGTCTGAGCCTCCATAGAGGGTGCCAGATCCAAGAGCACCCCCAAGCTGCAGGCCCAATCCTGCAGGAGGTGTGTAACCCCATCAAGGCCGGCTAGGTTTTTAACTGGTCTGACAATCCTCCTGATAGTGGGCTCTCTGTCTTATCTGGATTCAGTTTCAGTTTACTGGCCCTCGTCCAATTCATTATCGATGCTAAGCAGTACTCAAGAACCTGTACAGCATCACCCGCAGATGAAGCAAAGGCGAGATAGAGCTGTATGTCATCAGTGTATTAGTGACCACAAACCTGTGCTGAATGAGGTTACACATCCTCTAATGACATAGGTGTGCAGCTTGGGAGTATCGTGTAACTCCCTGTTACTCAGATGAAAGTTTTGTTGTTCTCTCTGAGCTTTCAAAGTCCCACTAATATTCTTATTTTGTTTTGTCTTTTTATGGGATTGTAGATTTTTTTTCCCCTGTATGGAAATTTGGGATTACTTTCACATGCAGCTTTTTAAAAATATATTTTTATATCTATTGCACATATTGATTGTCTAAATTTTTTTTTAATTAAAGCAATTAGTGCACATCTATACATTTGTTGCCACGGGAATTTTGCAAATATACTCATAGTTCAGTGTATCTTTCCACCTCTAAAATGCACCATAGGTCTGAAGAAAGCACAGACTTCTGATATGAGATGCATTCCACTTCACTGGCAGTGTTTTATTTATTTATTTATTTATTTATTTATTTATTTATTTATTCATTCATTCATTCATTCATTCATTCATTCATTCATTCATTCATTCATTCATTCATTTAATTTCTATCCCTTCCAACTCAATCATTTTATGATTTTATGACTCTGAGATTAAAGAATTACAAGTTTTGCTTAGCATAAACTTTTACAGCTGCAGTCCATGAAAGTTTATGCCAATAAAACCTGTTAAGAGTTTAAGATGCCACAGAATATTTGGTTGTTGCTGCTACTGCTATTGCTTGCTTCAATAGATCAACACAATTCCCCTTTGTTAATTTTTTTAAGAGTACAGACACAACAAATGCCCCCACCATCTTTAGTCTTAATATGATAAAGACACCAATCCATGTGAATGATTTTTTTAAAATTTAGGATGACTATTAATCTAAGTCCATTTATTTTTGTTTAAAAATACCAGTTTGCATATGTAGTAGAATATTTCACTACTGTGAAAATTGCTGATCCTTCTGAGCCTGCGGTATGATTCATGGTGGTTAAGGGTGAACAGCCAAGCATAAATCAATCCCTTTGACAGATAATATATTTCTCATAACAAATGCCAGCATCCGAAAAATTGATTGGCATGGCACAAACATAGTAATTACATGAGTGTGCTTACTTGCAAACATGTCTTTTTGCCAATATATGATTTATCTAGATTGGCAAACAACAAAATTGTACATAATTGCCTGCATTAAAAAGTATTTACTGAGCAGAAGACTGCTCAATGATCATAAACAGAAATCTGGATTAACATCTACATTTTGACAGAGATCTTGCAGGGTGTTTGCTTAAAGTAGCAAGAAGGCAGGCGTGCTGTAGCCGAAAGAATCAAACCATGTTTTCAGTTCTGGAACCACAAATGTGACAATTGTCTTCAGTATCATCTGCATTTAGGTCTATGATAAGAGCTCTATTTTTCTTTGTAATAAAGTAGGATTAAGACGAAAATAATTATTTATAAATCACCAACATTGGCCATGAACCGTTTAGGGCTGCCAACTCTTTGGTCTGCCTTTCCTAGTAGTAAGTCTAATTAAACAGATGAAATTTTTCCCATTTTTTGCCCTGTGCCCCCCCCGCAAAAAAGCCACAAATTTAAATGTTTGTCTCTCTCAGACTATTAATGAACAAGTGATGGGGAGGGAGAAAATAGCATCCCTACTGTGTCTTTTTCAGAGTATTGCTCTTTGAAACAAAAGGAAAACTACAGTTTTTCCATTAAACCTACAGTAAGGGGCAGGGAAACCACAGCCTCTGCATCTGTCATCTTTGAAACACCTGGGCAGGACTGTTCCACCACTTTCCATTGCCTGTCGGCTCAGGTATTGCTGAGGGACAAACCCCCCCCCCCGCACATTCTTATCTCAGTGAGCCCATTGAGAATTCATAGGAAGTTCAAGGACATGGGGGTTAGGGAGGGTTACAACTCCATGGCTGCTTATTCAATAACTTCATGGTCTGGTAGCCCCTAATTATTTAAAATATTCCACTGATGCACAAGAGAGCGAGGCTTTTGGCAGATGTCAAGTAACTGTAACCTAGGAAGGCATTCACCCCCTGCTTCTTCCAAAAATTCCACCACACTAATTATTTCAACACATAGGAAGCCATCAAGAGGTTAAAGCAGGGCAGGAAGGAGGCAGCTTAGGAGAATAGGAATTTCGGAATTTCTTAGACACCAAGGATTCTATGGGATACTTTCCTTTGTCTGCTCAGGGTCTTTTTATGTTCAAGCAATAAATGTGGAGGTTGCAAAACATGGAGGAGGCTGCCTGACCTTTACAGGAAACATCCCTGTGGTTAAAATATTGCTGGAATCTTTCCTTTTTTATGAAGGGGGTGTATTTTCGCAAGCAATATAGTCAGACTCATTGACCAACTGTTAGAGACAGGAGTTGTACAGTATACCAAACACATCCAATTTGTTTATCACAAGTTATACATGCTTTTGTTCCATGAACAAACATAATACTGTATATGATTGATAAGCATTGTAGCCTTGCTGTACACCAGGGAGCCCAAATATTGAATTTTGTCTCCTCGGCAGGTAGAAGCAGGCATTCAAGAACCAGCAGTATAGCAGAAGATGAACCACCTCTTAGAAATGTTATTTTTTTAAAAAAAGTACAACTCTCAGAAAGGTTATGGTGGCTGAGGATTCTGGGGCTGTACTCCAAAAGATAAACGTTTCTACTTTCTACAGATAACAAAGGGAACTACTGTTCTGGAATGTTCTACATAGAAGGAATGTTAGCATCAACTGTCAGAATGCCAATTGACAGAATCTCTTTTCCCTGGTAAATGCATGAGTTGATAACAGGGCTTTCCAGTATTACTCTGGCTGACATTGACCGAGAGTACAGTTAAGCAACACACAGCCCATGGGCCGTATGTGACCTCCATCTGTTTTTGCAACCCCTGAAATCTCAAACAAACAAACAGTCTCCCCAAAGGAGAAGTGCTACTCTTTGAAGCCTCCAGGTTTGGTGACTCTCCTCTAAAGCAAGGTCTGTTTGGTGGAGAGGGTACATTATTCATCTTTTCAAAAAATAAACTTGTTTTTGAGGGGAAGAAGTGGGGGGGAAGAGAGAGAGAGAGAGAAACTTGGTCCCTGGACCTGCCAAAGTTCACCATCCCATGACAGAATGAGAAAATCTCACTGTCCTTTCATTAACAATCTTAGTCAAATTCCAATTCAACAAGATATGAATAAATGAAGTATTATGCTGTGGTGTGTACCTCGATCTGCATGTTTCATGTTTGTACTCTTCTTGGGGTTAAGCAGGGACCATTTTACCGATCAGGCAGAACAGTCAGACCCATCAGGCAGCAAACGCTGGGAGAAGCAGTGGCATCTCCTCCCACCCACAGCTATTCATCATCTGCTCCCTGACTATTCTCATTCTCTCTCTCTCTCTCTCTCTCTCTCAGGACAAAGCTGTGTATTCTACATAGACAGTCCCCAAATTAGTCTAATACTTTCAGACGTGGCACAGAAGCGTAAAGTACTGCCAAATTTGAAATAAGGTCCCAGTGGCAGTACAGTCAATTTCTGTACGAGGAATGGTGGGAAGCTTCTTTTTGTTCTTTACTTGAGATCACCCACTGTTTTGGGCAACCGAAATGGAAAGACTGTGAATGCTATCCAGCTGAACTCTTGCACTTCAAAATTAACCCCTATACTCCTGCCCATGGGTGCCTTTGGTAGCCCAGCCAAAGACACGTAGTTTGCCAGGAAACTGATTTCTCCCTCTTCACCTGGTCTTGTTCTTCACCTTCCATAGTGCTTCCAAACTCAGTGCAAGGACCAAACTATGTTATAGAGAAGTCATAACTAGAAGAAAGAATTCCTTAACTGCAGAAAGCATTGGATAATCACAGGGGAAGGTTTCCTCACCTCCTCTATCTTATATATTAGGTTACCTTGGTTTATGATTGGTCTTCAGGAGCTAACAATGGCTTTGTTTGCAAGTCTGATTTTTCAGACATGAAGGTCTGTGTGAAACACATATATTGTGTGGAACACTAATAGAGTACTGTATGATTTCAGCTGAAATTACAGGTCCTAGCTTAGTCTCAAGGCTGATTAAACTGTGGGGATGAGCAGTTGCATTTTCTTTTCCTTTCTTCAGTTCCTAGAATTTGTAGCATGAAAACGAAAAAAACCACTTTGCTCTCTGGAGCTAGACATGAGGCAGAGAGATCCTCTTTCAGGAGTGGAAAGATCTGCCTCTGTTTTTTTCAGGGAAATGATTCCAACTCCAGGTTTTATTTCAGACTTTGCAAGAGCTATCTAAGGTGCTGAAAGCCAACCCCAAAATAGATTCAACACCTTGGATGGTTCTTGTAAAGTTTGGATTAAAGGCCAGAATAGACTGACTTCTCTCACATCATCACAGTCAGGAACCTCCATTGTCTTCGGGTGATGACATCAGAATCGGACTTTAGGAGACAAGACCAAAGATGTGCTCAACAGAATGGCCAGAAGAGTTCCCAAACAGATCAGAGCAAAATTAAGAAATGCTGTACATGTTAGTTGTCATTCAGGTTTTACTAATTACTTGATGTATGATTTCAGCTGAAATTACAGGTCCTCCATGATGTCTAGCTTAGTCTCAAAGCTGATTAAACTGTGGGGATGAGCGGTTGCATTTTCTTTTCCTTTCTTCAGTTCCTAGAATTTGTAGCATGAAATCTGCCTACCTCGGAAGGCTAGAAGGCTGAGTGAACCTCAAGCTAGCTACCTGGGATTCAACATAGTTTGTGAACAGAATTTTGGATGCAGTACTGCACTTAACCACTATGCCATGAAGAGCAGAATTTTGGCTGCAGTACTGCACTTAACCACTATGCCACGAGGCTCCTTACTATTTATTAAGATACAGTATTAGAAATGCAGTACATCAGTCACACCTTGCTAACATGTAAATAATTTATGATAGCTTGTGTAGTGCAGTAAATGGAATGTATGACTAGGATTCAAAGACCTGGGTTCAAATTCCTGCTTGGCCATAGAACCCAATTGGGAAGTAGTTATTGTAAACCACTCTTTGAATATCCCTCCATACTTTGAAAACCTTGTTAGGGTCACCATAAGTTAGAAGCGACTCTACAGCGCATAGCACACTGAAGTAATGTACATTTAGAAATAAATTGCTAGATTATTATTTTTAGATCCTTAGCAAGTAAAAAGATGGTCACCAGTCCTCCAGATGACACTAAATAAATGAATGTGTTCTGTGTAATAACAAGTAAATGTCACTCATGCAATGTTAGTACGTATTAATGTTAAATGACAATAGGGCATTATTATGTCTTTGTTATCACAAAATGTAACTTAAGTCTTGTATTAGCAAGTAAAAAGATGGTCACCAGTCCTTCTAAATAAATGAATGTGTTATGTGTAATAACAAGTAGATGTCACTCATGCAATGTTAGTATTAATGTTAAATGACAATAGGGCATTGTTATGTCTTTGTCATCACAAAATGTAACATAAGTCTTGTCAGAAGCAGCTCCTGGATTACAAGAAAGTAAGAAAGAGAGAAAGGATATTAATAAAAGCTTGTTTGTTTGCTTTTTTTTAGATGTTAGTGAATGTGCACTTCATCTCTGCCAGAACGGGGGAACGTGTATTAATGGAGGTGAAGGGTACAAATGTGCTTGTCCACAAGAGTGGACTGGGCCCAATTGCCAGTATCAAACACAGACAGGTATGTACTCTGCTGATGAGTGAAAGAGAAGGGAGAGAGTGGCAGGGTATGTAAACCAGATAGACACACTGGCAGGCAGACCCTGATGTTTCCTAGCATGTCAGAAAGCAGCAAGCCTTTAAGAATTGGAAGAAGGTAAACAAGAAGTGTTTACATTATATATTATTCAAGATTTTGGTCATAATTTTATATTTAATTACACTGCATACAGGGTAATTAAATATAAAATTATGACCAACATCTTCCATAACTGCCAGCACAACAAGACAGATGACACTGGCAGTGACAGATAGTCACTAATTAAGGGGTTCATGTTTTGATTTCAGGCCATGCTCAGCTAGTCTCACTGTGCACAAGTCGCACATAACCCAAAATCAAAATCAAATCTTTAATTAGCAGCAATCTGCTGCTGGTGTTGAGGTTATTTCCACAATGCCAGTGGAACTGTTGAAAAGGATGCTCCCCATTAAATATATAATAATTACTATAACAAGCATCACTAAGGTAAGAAGACCTTATTGAGAAGACATAAGATCTCTAATGCTCTTAAATTTAAATTTTAAACACTTTTAAATTAAAACACATCAAAAACATCTCTGTTAAAATATTAACAACAATGGACCTTGAAATTTAATCACTTTTTGCAGCAGGTAACTGGTAAATAGTTACAGCTTACTTCGTTACCTGTAAGTAGTTCTTTCCATGTTCTAGCTCAGAATCATACTTTGCCTTGTTTGGAAAGTCACAAAAGCAGAAGCAAATGTTTGTAATCTCCTTTCTCTCTGCAGGAGAGGTGGGGAGAGAAGCAACCCTCCTTCCCAGCTTATACCATCTGAATATGATCCATTTCACGCAAATGTTTGGAAAAGAGAGAGGAGGTCTCTTTGTATAAATAACGAGAGCAGTATAAAAAAGGGAAAAAAAGAAAAGACAGACAAGGAAATGTATATATGGGATAGGACTCAAGGGAGAGGGAGGAAAGGAGTAAGAAGGGACAGCTCTTGATCTGACATCCTTGAGGAAATGGTTGGTTTGTTGTGCATCTTGGTAAAGTTATTCAGCAAACCAGGCATGTCAGTCCAAAAATAATTACTATTTCTACATTTTGGGGGCAGGTGTTTGGGAAGTAATTTCTCCCCTCCCTCCTTGTCTTCTAGTGCCACCAGCATGGAGTGTAGCAGATGACCCAGCTTTCAGTCGCAAGCCACGCTGTGCCAAATTTGATAGAATGCAGCACTGCAGCTGTGAAGCAGGTTTCCATATGAGTGGCACATCTGAAAACAGCATCTGTCAGGGTAAGACAGGAACTGAGCAAAACTTCTCAAGAACCAATATGAGGGGTGTATGCTGGACTCGGCCAAATCGCAAATTGCTAACCAAATAGGCCTGATTTGGAATGGTTTGCATAAGTTCTGGATCAAAGCTAATGGCTAGATTGCGTTCTAGAAGTGAAATTGTTTCAGCCTGTTCCTTTTTCTTTAGCAAATTTTAAAGGTACCAATTATGCCATCCCCTGATGCTAGCCACCAGAAGATTGACATTCTCACTCCTCTCATTAGGGTCTATCATAAAGTCTATAATGTCACCAAATTTCGTGTACGTCAGTGTAAAAGGTTTTAAAGGTACCAATTATGCCATCCCCTGGTGCTAGCCACCAGAAGATTGACATTCTCCTCTCATTAGGGTCTATCATAAGGTCTATAATGTCACCAAATTTCATGTACGTCAGTGTAAAAGGACAGATGTCACAGCTGTTTCAGTTTCCAATGCAAGTCAATGGTAGGCTTACAAACTTCTTTGGACCAGACAATATGAGGTGAGACTAAGAAAGAGCAGAGCTGAGAGTAAGAGATTTGAATCAAAAAAAAGCAGGAGAGCTGAAGAGTCCAGAGCTGATGTTACCACTTAGATTGCTAAGGCCCTTGCCAACTTGGTCCAGGGTTTTGAAGACTGTACATGTGGAGCTGGTTCTTTTGTGTTATAGATATCCAAGCCAGTTGAGGAAGTTGCCTTGGATTTTAATCTGAATTTAAATGCCCTTGCCAACTTGGTCCAGGGTTTTGAAGACTGTACAGTACATGTGGAGGTGATTCTTTTGTGTTACAGATATCCAAGCCAGTTGAGGAAGTTGTCTTGGATTTTGATCTGAATTTAAACTCAAATGCACACTTGAACTTTGCAATTCTATAAGCAACTCCTCTATTGGTGCTGTTGCAAAGGTCTTGGATGCACCAATTGTGGCATTACTTGGTCCAGGGTTTTGAAGACTGTACAGTACATGTGGAGGTGATTCTTTTGTGTTACAGATATCCAAGCCAGTTGAGGAAGTTGTCTTGGATTTTGATCTGAATTTAAACTCAAATGCACACTTGAACTTTGCAATTCTATAAGCAACTCCTCTATTGGTGCTGTTGCAAAGGTCTTGGATGCACCAATTGTGGCATTTTTGTTTTTACAATTGCTCGTGTTGTCTGTTATATGACTGTGAATAACAAGAGACTCAATTTGTGAAATTGTGTTTGCAAGGTTCATATATAGATATCCAAGAAAACAAATAGTCCCATAGAACTCAAAAGTGTTGCACAAACATAGTAACATCAAATTTATACAGAAAACCATTCAAAATGTAATTCATTGGTAAATGTATTGATTAATTCAATAAACCATTAGACAATCAAACAGCTAACAATACATCCCATTTCTATTTGTCAGAGAGACGCATGGAGAAACCCCTTTCCTGCAACTTTAATTGATGAGGAAGGTCTGTAGGCTTTATGGAATGGGAGTCCTTTGGAGATAGTAGGTACATAGTGAAGAAGCAGAAGCTCTATTCTTACCAGTTGTTGTTTTTTAAATCACAGGATCCCAAATCCATGCTATTTCTGAAAGCAATAGCCCAGAAAATATCCAATCTTTGAATGGCGTGGTTGCTGACATTCAAAGATTGGTTGTTGTGGTGGTCTGCTCTGAAGACAGCAACCCCTGTTACAAATAACAAATTCCAGGGCATTTCAACACCAGCTTGCAAACTGCCATAAGTCATTTACAGCTCATGGTCTCTGGAGTTCAAATTATTCATACAATCTGTTTGTCTTCTCAGATCATAGAGCGTTAAGGATCTGTTAAGGTGCCAGAGGCTATTTGCTCCTTCTTCATCCTAGTACACCTCCTATGGGTGTATATATCAATCTTCTGCAGTCTGGACCCATCCTGTCTTGGAACGATGGGAGTGGTAGTCCATTAAAGCCCCTATCTGCGGAAGTCTGGTTTAAATACATATGAAATTAAAGTGAGTTTAGCGGCCACCTAAATAGGTCAACGGTCACCTAAACAAGTCTGAAATTGTTTTAGCCTGAGAAAACATAGATTGTCTATTGGAAATGAACAAACAGTACAACTTTTGATCTGGAAATAATGGCAAACTCCTTCATTGTTTTCCCAGACATCCAGAAATAAGACTGGAATAAACTCATATCCTGATTGAAGCCTCCATAGTAAACTCAAGCCTGGCAGGTTGATATCAGTTTGTCACTGACAGTGCTGCTGTTATGGCAGGACTGACCATCTTGGAACTGCAGAGTTGGAAGGGATCTTATAAATAATCAAGTCCAGCCCTTGTTAAAGAGGCACAATGGAGAATCAAACTCCCGACTTCTGGCTCTGGAGCCAGGTGCCTAAATCACTCAATCAGACTTTAAGGTCAGATCATGGGATTTCATTCACCCAATGCAGCATAGTTGGTAGATTACATTTCGAACCAAATGAAGTAACGCACATGAGCATTTAATACCTCACCCCCATTATCTCAAGGCCATTACATTCAGAATGTAAAATCACCTAAATGCACCACTAAAGTCCCACCTCAACAACAGGGAACTGTAATCTAACAATATCTAGGGACTAGGTTGTGAACCTCAAAGTCTCTCTCTCTCAGTGAGAATCAGAAAAACCCCTTGTTTCCACTGCAGTGAGACTTCTCTGTGTAAGTTCCTCACCTCCAAGCAATCCTGTGAGAAATCTTACAGGATTTTGTAATTGTTCAGTCGTCATTTATTTATTTTTCTGGAACAGGAGCCAAGCAGTGCACATTCCTTCACAGCCTGGTATTTTTTCCTGCACAGAATACACCCAGAAAGGGCTGAAGAAACACCAAGCTGTGCAGGACTCTTGTAGTTCCTGAGGAGAATGGCATCTTTCCTCCATAGGAGTCACTGGAAAAGAGCTTTGAGACTCTAAAAATGCCTCACAACAACAACAACAAAATTTCTAGTACCTATTGTATCCTATGGGAGACTCAAGGTTAAGAACCACTGCCCTAAACCTGCAGTAATATTGCCTTTGATTTCATGTGGAAGGAGAAGTGTTAATAGGAGCTAGCTGAGTTTGGCATATCAAACCAGATGATTAATGTTATATAAACCAGGTAGGTCTCTGGGAAGCTCCCAAGGGTTTTTTTTCCTCCTGGAATTTAGAGAAAGAGCTTTCCTACAATTGGCTGCCCTCTCAAAGAAACTTCTATGGGAGATCAGAATTTGAGACTGGAGAGTTATTGTACCTCAAGAAGTTCAGTTGTACCTTCCCTCATCACACAGCGGATGCTCCTTGTCAGACCCATTGCCATGATGTTTGAGAACAGCCAATGTTAGTAACATGAGCAAGCTGTGCAGTCCCAGGGCTCCCCCAGAAGAAGGAAATGGTAAATTACCTCTGTGTATTCTATACCTGGAAAACTCTGAAAAGGATCACCAGAATTGACTGCACATGATTGTTATTATTAATCCACAAAATAGTATGTTACATATTGTGCCAGAATAAATATTTTAATCTTCAAGGGGCCACAGGACTCTTTGTTGCCTCCCCCCCCCCATGTTTCAAACCAAATTGAAACGATCCATGAATTTGAAAAACAATAATCACTTTGATATTGTGATTAAATCCCTGAAATATTTCCCCACTGCCCTTGCTGTCTATGTCACAAAATTTCTTATTTATCGATGCAGAAATATGGGAGAATTTCTTTCTTATATTCTTTCTTTTTCCTTATTGCAGATGTGAATGAATGTGAAGTTTACAAGCAGGAGGGAGCCCCTCGGCTCTGTATGTACGCCTGCATCAACACTCCTGGCTCGTATCACTGTTCCTGCCCCAGTGGATACAGGATCTTCAGTGATGGCAAAAGTTGTGAAGGTGAAACATAGCCTCACATTTTCTAAACGCGTATCATATGTCACAGACGTAAAAGGATAATTCATGGGATTTGCAGTACATAGAGAGTTTTATGTGTGCCAAGAGGTAGGATTTTATATTATTTTCGTAAACTGCATTCTTATATATATTTTTCCAAAAAATAAATCCCATCTGACACTATGGGACGTATTTCTGAGTAAGCCTGCATAAAATGGCTCTGTAATTCAGAATCCACCAAGTGTGCAAAATATGCAAGTTATTCAGTTGTCCAGAATTCTTCATCAGGCTAAAAGGTTAAAAAAATGTTTGGGGAAGATATTTGTGGTACAGAATTTGAAAAATCTGTCTGGGTGCTTTAAGACATTACAGCCTGCAATTAAATTTAATCCCAAAATGGACAGTTATTAGGTAGCACTTTAAGATCTGCTTATAGCATGGCAAACATACAAAGAGGAGCACTAATAGTGGTTCTGCTACAAGAAGTAAAATCCCCACACTCTTTAGTATTGTAAATGCTTCACATCTGTTGCAGATTTTTGAATTTCTACTAAAATTCTTTTTTGTTATGTCCTGCTGCCTTCAGCGTTCTCCAGCATTATTGTCTTTTCTATTAGATCTTGTCCTCTAATGATATGCCCAGAATACAATAGCCTTGGTTTAATCATTTGTGCATCTAGAAAGAGTTCAGGCCTGATCTGAATTAGAATTCTTTTGTTTGTCTTTCTGTCAGTCAATAGTATCTGTAAAATCCTCCTCCAATACCATATTTCAAATGAATTTGGAAAAAATCTTCACTGTCCAGCTTTTACATACATACATTCTAATTGGGAACACCATAGTAGGATAATCTTGGTTTCACTCTTCAGATATACTTCCTTACACTTGAGGATCTTCTAGCGTAGCTGCTAGATATACTTCCTTACACTTGAGGATCTTCAAGTGTAGCTGCTTGTCTGAGTCTCAGTGTTCTGATTTCTTGGCTGCAGTCTTCATTTGGATTGATGGTTTAGCCACAGTATAGAACAATTTTAACAATTTTAATTTCTTCATTGTCAGCATTAAAGTTATGTAGTTCTTTTGTCGTCATGATTTTTGTCTTCTTCATATTCAACGGATGTCCTTTTTTGCTACTTTCTTGTTTCACTTTCACCAGAAGTCATTTCAACACATTGCAGCTTTCTGCCAGTAATATCTTATCATCTGAATACCTTAAATTAGTGAAGTTTCTTCCACTAACTTTCTCCCCTCATTCATCGGAACCTAGCCCAGCTTTCCATGATATGTTTTGCACAGATATTGAACAGATAGGGAGATAAAACATAGCCTCGTCTGACATCTTTCCCTATAAGAAACCATTATGTCTCTCCATATTCTGTCCTAAGAAGGCAAACAAGAATGTGAGTGTTCTCTTTTGTAGATGCAGAACACGCCAGTGATCAAAGAATTATGGAACTGTAGAGGTGGAACAGCCTAAAAGGGTTACTAGTCTAATTCTCTGCCATTGTAGGAACCTACAGAGAAGAAATCCTTAACAGATGGTCATCCAGTCTATTTAAAAGTCTTCAGTGAAGGAGACTCCACCATATTCAGAGGCAGGCATTTCTACAGGCAAACTACTTTTACCATCAAGAACTATCTATCTCCATATCTGAGAATTAGGCAAGGTGGACCACATATATTTTCCCTAATCATTTTTGCTTTTTCTCAAAGGATCCTCACCATTCCTGCCTATTATTGCAAAGAAAAAAAAGGAGTTTAGAGCAAAATGTGACATTTCCAAAATGTTAGCAGAATCATGCTCCCATCAGAGACACATGTTGGTTGCCCTCCACTCCTCAACAGTCCTCCTGCAAGCTTCCAGTTCCCCAGCCCATTCAAACTGCCAATCTTTCTTGTAGTTTTACACTAGATCCATTTTGCAGCTATGAATGAAATGAAATACTAACAGAGCAGAGGTTGGGTTTGGCAACGACCATGCAGCAAGCCGCATTTTTGTGATAGTTTATCATGCACTACCATGGCTTAAAATACTAGCTGTGCATACCGAGAGAGCTAGACCCTCAACACAAGGTATATATTGTACTGTAGTTTAAGGTATGTTGGAAGGTATGAAGGAGAAGTGCCAAGAGCTGGTGAGAAATTCAATAGTGATATTGTATCCATGAAGCATGAGTTCTGTGTTCGTGGGCTGCTATGGAAAGGCTTTCGATAAAACAGAGCTGGTCACTCGGATTTAAGTGTCAGCTTGTTCTAAGTGAACACCTTCTCATAGAAAAGTTTTATTGATTCATTTATTTATAGCAAAGAGCAGAGTTTGTTTATAGTAAAATTATGTTCTGCCTTTCTGCCAAAACTGACACACAAGACAGCTAACGTTAATAAAATAAAGCCAATTCAATTAAAAATAAAAAAGGACTAAAAATGGAATTAAATAAAGGAATAAAAAGAAATAATAACACTATTATGTCCATGGAAATCTAGGTTAAATGTCAAAGACCTGCTTTGCGGGGAATAGAGATATTTGCCTGCAAGCATATGGACAACAGAGAGGGAGTAAACCTTATCTCTTTTGGCAAGGAGTTCCAGAGTCCAGAAGTGGCCCCTGAAAAGTCTGAGTGTGGGACATATCAGCAGTTCAGTAGCAGCACTGCTTTCCCTTCTCCAACACAACCAGAGTATAGGATTGTCTTGCTAGTCTGCTATCCTTGGCTCCCTTTACCTAGGAGCTGTGGGGTATAGCAAAGCTAGAGCTTGCAAGGTCAAAACCCCAGGACTTTCTCATTAGCCGGGGTTATGAAATCACCAGCTGCCACCACCCTCATTTCCCTGTGAACTCACCTGCAATCCTCACAGTAGTTAGCAGAGGAGTGGATTTTCCAAAGGACACTATAGTGTTGCAAGCTAATTTCTTCTATAATGCAAAGTACAGTATCTAAGGAACTGTGGTCTTGGATGGACAAATAAGACTAATCAACTTTACAAAAAGACGTGCTCCTATTTATGGGGCAGGGGGCTGGCTACAGGGGTGATCATGATGATTGCCAGAACTTCAAAGCTTGCCCAGGAGCCACAACAAAACTTGATTTTGAGTAAGCTTGGCTATGTTTGCAGTGTAAAGTAGACAGAATTTTTTGGGGGGGGGCAGTATTATATTCTGCAAGGGACGTGGTGGCACTGTGGGCTAAACCGCAGAAGCCTGTGCTGCAAGGTCAGAAGACCAAGCATTCGTAAGATCGAATCCACGTGACGGAGTGAGTGCCTGTCACTTGTCCCAGCTCCCGCCAACCTAGTGGTTCAAAAGCATGCAAATGCGAGTAGATAAATAGGGACCACCTTGGTGGGAAAGTAACAGCGTTCCGTGTCTAAGTCACAGTGGCCATGTGACCACGGAAAGATTGTCTTTGGACAAAACGCTGCCTCTATGGCTTGGAAACGGGGATGAGCACCGCCCCCTAGAGTCAAACACGACTGGACAAAAATTGTCAAGGGGAACCTTTACCTTTACCTAGTATTATATTCATGATGTGGCTAACAAACAGGCTTCCAAGAAATAGAAAAGTGATCAAAATAGCCAGAAATGACATCACAAAAATCAACATTTCGGAGTAGTTGAGTTAAAATGACTTATTACATGCCAGTCATTCTGTTATTTTGCAAAAACAATGTTATCATGCCATCATCATCTCGCAGAGTAAAGTATTACAGGTTGTATCATCATTACCTATAATGTGCTACTTTCAGAATTTGTTAGAAGAGCATAGTTCCCTCGATCCGCCTTTAAATCTAGGTTGAAAAATTAGAATAAAGAAACCCAGGAGAGGCATATCCTTTTGATAGAAAAATGGATGGTGTGTGCTCAGGGTTAAGCTGTGCCACCATATGAAGCCAGAGAAGTACAACAACTGGGGGGTCATCAGTCCTGTGCTTAGCCCCGTTTCCCAGCATTGAGAGCCTGAAAGGAGCTCAGAGCTGGAATTTCAAACAATGAGCTCACACGGGGGGCTGTTGCTTATGGAATGTGACTTCTAGTTCCCTCTTATCTAGATGTTGTACTTGGGGCAAAAACACTCCACCAGTATAATTGTCTCTTCAGGCAGGAGTTCTGATGGTCATTGAGCAGAAATGGCACCCCTCAGGCACAAGAGGGAGATATCAGCCATCATTAGGTCGCCAATATTGACAGAAATGGAAAGCACCTAATGGGGGGATATCCCTAAAGAGGGAATAGGCAAAACATCCCAGCACCCCAACAACTTGGTAGCCATGAGTGGAAACCATGCCAAACTGGGTGGGTGTTGGAATGGAATGGAATATACTGAAGGAAATCATAGCTGACTATCTGTACTCCAATGTTTTGTTACAGGTCCCAAAGTCCTAAGTTGCGCTATATATGTGTATGACACCATCAACCTGGTTAGCCCATTTTTCTGCACATCGTGGCCTGTCACTGTCCAGCATGTAGGGCTTCCCCACTTCCCTCCTTCTGTTCATGTAGTCAGCCACCAGACATTCCCCAATTCATTGTGGGTTACCACACACAGGTGGTAAGCTTCATTCACTCTAGTGGAATGTGCAGGTCTCCTCTAACCATTGGGTACCATGCAAAAATAAGAAATGGAAGACTGAAAGGCTGAGGTCAGTCCATCAAGCCTCCATCCTCCCCTAGTCGTTGTAAAACGTATTTCCACAGAGAGAGAGAATAAAAGTTTTTCTATTTCTCTCCAGATGGAAGCATGAGCTTTATGGTCTGACCTCATATTACCTACTTGCCCTCATGCAGTCTTTGACTCTGCCACTCTTCCAGGTATGTGTGTCTATGCCTCTCATCATCCCTGCTCAGTGTGGCTCCATGTTGAGTGGGGATGATGTGAGTGACAGTCTCATTATTTGGAGAGCGCTGGCTTGCATTCATCTAATGAATTAGCATAGCACAGTTTCAGTCAGGGCTAAATTAACCACTAGGAATTAGTGTCCTTCTGCACAGGGCTCCAGATAGACTGTGGCTTTTGTTCTAAATCTAACTATCATACAATCACACCCACACCCACCAAGAAGGCCATTCCCTCTGCATGAAATAAGAGTCTATGTGGCAATTGCTCCACACTGTGGCTGAAAGTGGCTTATCAGAATACAGTGGATTGCTTTCATAATATGAAAAAAACCTGACTAATTAATTTGCTTTATTGACTGAATTATTTCTAAGCCCGCCTCAAGCTCAGGGTGGTGCACTATCAACAGAAACTCATTTAAAAGCTTAAATAATTTAATTTAAATGCTTTCAAAACAATGGTTAGTTTTTTAAAAATAATTTAAACTTTTAAAATACATTTTAATCGTTAGAACAATTAAAATAAACTTCAGTCAGCTGAAAGAGTGAAGACCAAGACGTGAGCTCTTCCTTTGCCAGGTAAACAGGCAGGTTGTAATTTTGTGCTAAAATAAGGGCAATGTTGAAACTTGCTGGGTCTCGAAGGGGAGGGCATTCTACAATGGGATGCTACAACTAGGAACATGGGGGACGTGGTGGCGCTGCGGGCTAAACCGCAGAAGCCTGTGCTGCAGGGTCAGAAGACCAAG